TAATTATAAATTCAATTTCTACTATTGACATATTTAAACTTTCAATCTATATCTTATAGTTCTAAGTTAAAAAAGTAGAGGTAATTTCTATAAAAAAAATAAAAATTGTTTAAAAACTTGAATCGAGACTTAATTTTTATTTTATTTTATTAATCTTTTTGAAGGCTTTTTAATTAGTTTGATTAATATATAAAAATTAAGAAAAAATATCAAAAATATATTTTTTTTATTTCATTAATTATGTTTTAGACCTAACAATTCATACACTTGGGTAGTTTGGGGGTTTAATTTATTTATATAATATTTTACTTTATGTGAATATAATTCTTTCAAATTTATTCTTATTGTTAGTATTATTTAATTAGTATTAGTTCATTATTTTTTTTTTTTTCGTAAAGGTGATAATAATACCTAGAAATAGAGAATGCTAATAAATTAATTTATAATTTAGAAATAAGACTAAAGACAAGATTAGATACAAAATGATACTTTGATTTTTTAAAAGCTGTTAGTTGTAAAATTCAGGTATTTATTGCATTGTTTTTTGTATTTATATTGTAATAATCACGTATTATATAAGTGCCTAGTAGAGGTTATAAGAAGTATAGAATGTTTTATATAAACTTCTGGAATATTAAAACTTATATATACAAAACCACACCTGTATTAGAAAAATAGAATACATAAATATTTTATTTTACTGAGATTTGAAATATCATACACATTTCAATGCGATTTTATCAAGTTAACTATTTAAGTTTCTAAAATCTTCAAAAACAATCTAAAAATATCTCAAGCATTCATCAAAAAGAATGTACACTAAATTGTAAGAAATTCTCTAGTTTACTCTCTCTTTTTCTCTCCAAGAGAGATCTAAGAAAGTACTTTTGCCTTCTCTTGGATCTGCTATAAGAATATTTATTACATAGATTATAAATAAATACATAAATATATATATATATATATATATATATATGTGTACAAACTTCTAATTGACGATAAATCATTTTAGAAGATTTAAGAGATGTTAAAGACAAAAGAAAAGAAAAGAAAAGAAAAGAAATACAAACCTCTAAAAGCTTCAAAGAGATTTCAATAATCTATATATCTAAAATAAATTTTGTAAAAAATATATCTATATCTATATCTATAAATATATATTACTTAAATAAATAAAAGTATTCAAAAATAGATAGAATTGTATAGTGCATATTACACCTTTTTTAAGGAACATCAATAAAGCTTCTTAGATAAGAATTAGATTTATAGATTTTATTTATTTATGTGAAGTCACTGTAGAAACTTCATCTTAAAGAGTTTTAATGGATGTCAATACCATTTAAGTAAATAGAAATAAATAAATTTAATAACATTATGTGAGGTTGATAATCAATTTTTTAATAAAAATTTGTGAGTAAGTTTTGTAGATGTGGATTTAATATTTATACTTTTATCATTTTTTTGCATGACTATTAAAACTTGTTATACAAATGTTTTCTTCTTTTAAGAAGTTGTGGTAGAATGAATCTTTTGTTTGATGCTTAGACCACAAGTCTTGTGGTTTTTAGATAGCTTCTACAAAGCTTTCTCAATAGCTAGTATAAATGAAGACAAGAGTGAGGTCATCTTTAGTCTTGCCAATACCTTTCTTGTATTTTAATTGTAATTTAAGATTCTCTAGTTTCTTGATATTTAGTTAATTTATTTCTTTTCAATCTTATATCTATCTCTTTTTTTATTTAATTTCTCTTATCATTATTAATACATGAATGTATTAACTTTTGAAATCTTTTAGATTCATATTTGTAACAATGTCTTATATTTAGGAACTTAATCTAAAAATGACCATATAAAGGTAAAATTTATCTCTTAACTTATATTAAAAATTTACATCAATTTATTTTTTTAATAATAGTGGCATAAAGTAAAAAAATATTTAATAAAATAAAAATCAAGTAAAAAAAGAATAATAAAAAAATACACATTTTAAATTAAGGACAAAGTGTTTACTATATTTTTACTTTATAAATGATAAAAGATAAAATAGTAATTTGAATGAAATTAAATTTTATTTTAAAATCAAATTAATTTATTATAGAAAAATCATAATAATTTAAAAATATGATTTAAAAAAATTAAACAATTAAAGTTTACTTCAAAATTAAATTGATTATGTTGTGAAGGATTTGAATCTCACCAAGGCTCATTAGTGGTGTATAGGGTCTCTTACATGGCCACAAGGCCTTATATTTATCATCCTATCTATCTCTAAGGTGCTACAATCCATATGGGACATGTTGATCCAATTTCTTACTAGCTATTTATCACTTTAGTTTTTCTTAAAAAATATATTTAAAAAAAAATTAAGATTGATTATGGTATTTTAAAACATCCTATTAGCATAAAAACTATGTAGGACCTACATATTATCTTCAAATTCTTTATAATTGCATATAAAAGTACTAAAATAAAATTTATAAAAACTTCAAAGTATATTCTAAAAATCATTAGATAGTTCAAAATAAATTTATAATAACTCTAAAAAAAATCATATAATATATTTAAGATAATGATATTATATTAAATTAATTTAAAAATACCTTAAAGTTTTTTTGAAGCAAAAAATCAATATTAAATTAATTAAAATTCCTATTTTATACACAAATTACTAATAAATTTGGTATATTTGACATTGATATTGAGTACTAAATATAAAACATCAAAAAGAAGAGAAAATACTACAGCAACTAAGATAATTGTTTTAAAGACTTAAAAATATTCTATTTTTATTTTTTAACTAAAAATATAATTTACAACTTATAAAATATTTTAATTATTTATAAATTTTTAAGAAAAATAAAATAAATTTACATCTTATTCAATCTAGTTAAAAAAACTATATTTAGTTTTAAGATATATTTATTATTTAAATTTTTTTCTATTTAGAATAAATAATAAATAGTTTTTTATTATGTTATTTTTTTAAAAAGTTACATATTATTATTTTAGTTGTATGTAATTTTATTTAATGTATTTTAATATAATTATAAAAATTAAAATTTTATTTTTGTGTTACTTTTTGTAATACTTATTTTTATATTTATAAAATCTTTAAAATGATTAGTTCGTACCAACTTGCATATAAAAAAATATTGAACATTTTAAATAATTATTTTTCTATATATATATATATATATATATATATATGTAAACACCATAACTATTTTTCTAGAAATTTTATCCATCTTTTGTACACACAAAAATTCCAAAATTACACTATCTCAATATAAGCCTGAGTAATATTTATAATGTTCATATGTTAAGACTGCATATGTAATGGATATATATATATATATATATATATCCATACACACATACATATGTAGTTTAATAATAAAAAATAATTATAACTACTATTATTTTTCAAAGATATTTTAATGATTTAAAATATTTATTAGATTTTTTTATTTATTAAAATTTGCTGATACTTTCAAGTTAGATTTTTTTTTTCAGATTTTTTACAATTAAATATTACATGTAAAGACTCTAATACATGTTTGATGGTATATAAATAGTACTTCAAATCTTTTGGAATAAAAAAATGACATATAAAGTATTTTGTAATAGTTAGACAATCTTTATTCCATCCTAAGCTCATGAGATATTTTCTCAATGTATCTTTATTTCAATTTAAATTTTAGAATTAATCCTTTTAATATTATATCTTATAAAAATAAAGAAAAAAGTCAATTCTCTCTATTGAAAGTCAATTTTTTATATATATATATATATATATATATATTAAAATTTATTAAATTTTTATTAATTATAAGGTTTATAATTTGCTTTTGATAATATAGTTATCAATAAAAATTAATTTTTTTTACACATTACAAAAATAAAACCTTATAAAATATTTTATAATTTTTAAAATTCTTAATATTAATAATTTATTTTTAGTAAATTGGTTTTATATATGAAAATTCATTAAAACTAACAGTAAAATTTAGAATAATAAATTCTAAATTTTACTTAATTTAAATAATTAAAAAAAGTTATTTTAGATTTTTTATATATTAAAATAATTAAATAAATTTTCATATTTAATTTTTTATTTTTAGAATTTAAATTAAATTATATTCTTGTAATTTTTTATATTTAATAATAGCTAAATCATCTAGTGTATTAAAAAGTTTCACAATTAAAGTTCTAACATAAATCTCATACATATAGAATATCAAAATTTAACTTCATAATAGTGTTTAGTATGACCAAGAATTTAAAATAAATTGTGAGTATATAAAAATTATTATTATTATTATTATTATTATTATTATTATTTATATTTAAAATATATTTTTTGATTATATTCTTTGATTGTTAAAGAAAAAATTATATATATTTTTCATTATTTTTAAAAATCATTCTTAATTCTATTGATTTACATACTATTTTTATATTTTATTTTGTATAGTAATCTAATTACTTTTAATTATTATTTCTATTTAAATCTAAACAAATATTTGATATTTTCTTATTTTAACACAAATGAAGCTTGTAAAATTATCTTTCTAACTTCTAACTAATTGGTCTTTATAATTATATTTAAGGATTATTTATTTTTGTTTAAAGTAAAAATAGATTGAAAAATATGATTTTCAAGATTATTAATACTAATTATTACTCTATCTTATATATTGATGTAGTCTTTATATTTAAAAGAAAAGGTAAGAAACAACAATTTTTAAGTCTAATAATTAGAAAAAATTTAAAAATCTTCACTTAGTTGGCTTTGTACTTTAAAAAACCAATTAAAAAACCTTAAAAAGAATAGATGAGACATATCGCAATGTTTTTCTACTTAGCATATAATATTTGGTTTTCAGAATTTATAATGAATCCTCTTCTAAAGGAAACCAATGATTTGGAAAAATTGTTTTTGTCAGCAAGTGGAGGACCTTCCTAAAACTTTTGTAACATGACTTTTTAGCTTGAGCTTGTAGATTTAAAAATCTCCTTCAATTTCAAATAGGAGGTTTATTCATATGATGTTAATTACACATCAGCAATGTGCAGGTCTGTTGAAGGAGGATAGTCATATATGTCTCCAGACCGTAGCATTGTCTGCAAAACTGCCAGCTGAATGATCTACTCCTTCAGGTCATGTGAGACATGACAACGTGGTAAGACTGCTACGGCCCGGATCATGGAACGACAAAACCTAACCACGTTGACGTTCCAAGTCCTTGCAGTGAAGCCGCTTAACTAATTCTCTGTTCTGAACATTATCTCTTGATGAAGTACGCAGCTATTGTGGATAAGAGATATCCAAATGAAAACAAGAATTGAAGGGATACAGCATGACAAAAGAAGGCGGCCGAGGGTTGAGTGGATCCACAACCCCTATATTTACATTACCTATCATTCCAAATTTTGAGGATTCAGAACGACAATGGGCTATTCGGAGAGAAGGGTATGCCATAGTTCATGAGGGGGCGTGGACAGAAGAATGGCTGAAGCGTTTTCTCTTGTTTTCCACAACCCACGCTTCACAGCACTTCCCAACTGCCCAACGTACCACTCAGCATGACCATGTATGACCTGGTGATCAACATAATAGCACTCTTCATTTTTCCTCACTCTGTCTTCCTTGATGCTTTCGGCCTTCACACTACACTGTTGGCCCATGACACTTAATCTCTTACAACCATTTAGATGCCGTAACACTGGTCCTACATCTTTGCCCAAGAATATGCCAGGAAGAATTTCCCTTCCCCAGTCTTTACTACAAGTCTTTGGTCGCGCTGTATCCGCTGCACAATGTTTACACTTCACGGGAGATGGGGAGCATCGTTGCAAAATAAACCAGTCATCTGGTTTGTGGGATCCACCTGTACCATGTGTGATGTGCCTCAATGCGGCACTATTGTGAACGCCCAGAAAAAGCTGATTTTCCCATTTGAGAATCTCTGCCTTCTGATGTTTAGAAACGAAGTGTTATAATAAGCTACAACAGAACGGGTTCACTTCCGTAGGCTATAAGAACTACATTAAGCTCACTAAACCCATGACAGTTGATAGTCCTAATTCCATCAACATAATGTCAATCAACTAAAATACCCAAGTGTCTTCTGAGACCATGTTTCCAACCTCAGCACATAACAGTAGAAAATCCTATGATTATGTTCAAGTCATCTAGCTAAATGTCCAAAGGAAACAACGCAATATCATCAGAAATATTACCTCGGCCTGTTTGTTCAGTATAATTCCTCGGGAACCTCTGCACCTTTCATGCTCGTACAGTAACACCTGGAAGGCAACTTGGTGATCAGTCATTTCGAATATGGTTGAATGAATTCATAAACAGCGTCTCTTACACTTCACCGACTAAAGATGATGTAATTCTTGTTTAAGTGCTCTTCTGGTGCAAGTTCTAACATCAAAAGCAACTGCAACATCAAGTTTTTTGTAGATAAGGCAGAACACGAACCACAGTGCCAAAATAGTAAGGGGATAACATAGTTGGAGTAGCCACTAATAGCGTGCCAGGATGTAACGAGTTTGAGGAATTCCACCACCTGCTCCCCAATTTGAAAGTGCTGCAGGGGCCGCTACGTGGGTTAGTTTTTTTTAACTTCGGTACAGTAACCCCTCCAATTGCAGCACTGCTCTCTCCGCCTCTCCTGTTGCATCCAATCAAAAGACTCCTGTCACCTCGTCGCTATTCTACATGCATCTACAGATTTTGAAAACTAAGTGATCCAAGAGTGCACTTTCTGTAGTTTTACTGGTTCGCCAAAGGCAGATCAAGTAAATCGGAGGATAGAAAGCAGACACTTAACAGTATCTTGATAGCAAGTGCACAGTAAATGACACGAGCTGGCCGCCCAACGCCATAATTAACAATGGATAAGCGTCATAGAATCGAGGAAGCAACAGACATACACTTGAACAACTAAATTTTCTAAACGCCTGAAATCTGTATTCAATAACGAAGCGGATTAAATTTCTTATCCACAAAAATTAAAATTCCTCATATTCACCTTGCAAAAATTTCAACTGCTGCTTAGTCCTCTAAACAAAATAAAACGAAACGAAGACGGGGCTTACTTGCATGTTCTGGAGTTACAACTATCTTCCAAAACCTTCATCTGAAGGCTGCATGGCAATACCTCGATAGCGAGAGCGAGACCACTCTCAAAGTCATCAATAAGGCTTTGTAAATTGTGGCCAGCCAGTGCCACATAGCATGCAAGCTGGAAGCAACAAAAAAAGACAGCGCCGAGAATGACTGATAGAGAACTGATTAAAATGCAGCTGGACGTGTTCAGTTTCTGAGCAGATGCCGCATTCTAGAACTCAGCAAGTGACAGATTCAGCATTATATACTTAACATAAAAATATCCTGATTAGATCCTCCCCTTTGCCAATCTACATGAGCATAATGGAGAAAGAAGGCAACAGAATTGGTTCGTAGGAATCGGAAACTCGGTAGATAGGTCGTAAGCTGTCAATGGCAAACAGATCATTATAAATCGTATAATAGATAGTTAAAAAGAAATAGAGCCTTGCAGCTTCCTTCAATATTTACTACGGTTTCAATACGAGAAATCGAGAGACTTTACAGCCTACCAAGATGATGAGGAGACCTGTGACTTCACATGCATAACTGGTGCAGATTTTCCTTATTCGAGAAATCATCGTTGGTTGTGGCGGAGCTATGGAATATTTGTGTGTGCACACGGAACATCTGTGAAGCAAATGCATTATGTCAGTCAACACTATTAAGCTTAACACCAAGCCATAAAACTTAGCATAAGAGTGTTCGAATCTTACATGAGCGCTGGACTTTGCAATCCCGGGCCAGTCCTCCTGGATGCCAACACTGATTGCTGCCATCTCTGCAGGCATCTATAGTGCACGTAGGCTTGAGTTCCTGCAAGATCAGAAACAATTGTTGCACAGTTTTGGCATTTGAAAAAAGGATTTGACACTGTATGAGCAGAAAAACTCAGAGCGAAAATCTTTCAGCTCAAGCAGAAAGGATTTGTCTAGACAACATTGCAGAGACCGACAATAAATGCACTGAGATTGATCCCTTGAAAGTATTGAGAGACAGGAAATAATGGAATTGCGAGAACTGTAGCGTAGCTGCTGATCGCACTTGAATCCTACAAGCCGTATTTCTATTTGGTTAAAAATGGATGTCTAACATGTCTTCTACTTGCGTCACGTAAAATTCACTATAATAGTGTAACTTCGAGCATGGAGAGGAAGATTTGGAAACCAATAAAATTGAAAGCGAATGTTGCACTACTGACATATACGACGATCTCGTACTTACGGTATAAATGTAATTGTTAACAGAACTGCTTGAACTTAAGAAGAGAAGTAGAAAAGACAGAAATTTCTCAAGTAAACATAGACTAAAACATAGCAGAACTTTGAACAGAAGCAGTAAATACGACATAGTTTGGAGGTGGATCAGTGATCGTGTACCGCTGCAAGCACACGGTGAAATTAGGCGATCTTCGTCTTCTACGTCGGTAAACCTTGAGATGCTGCCAGTGCTGCTGTTGGCGATTGTAGACGACTCTAGACAAATACGACATGTTTCCGCTTGTTGTCCCATTTGTGGAACATCTGTCATGTTTTCGAAATTGAAAGAACTCGACGCTTAGAGTTGGTTACGCACAACAATATTATGTTTGCGTCCAATCTTGAATAGAAAATGAGCTGCCTAGTGCGTATTACAAACAGGAAGACCACACCATAGTACTTGCTCCCACGCCTGAACTGAGTCTAAAGTCCTGAATAATATTCAGATTCACGGAAGCAGGTCAGCAAATCATAAATTGCCACTTGAAACCAGAATTTAGCGGTAAAGCATCTACATGCAATCTGAAGGCAAAAGCGTGCGTTTGAGATCAAAGCAAAGACCTAACCATGCTCTCCTACAATTTTGAATTCTCGCAAGCTCTGCAGAAATTAGAATGGTTTCTGTGCACGAAATAGGTAGGATATAACATAATGAATAGTAGAAAGAAACATTCTCCTCGAACATAGTCATCTCAGTTCATCGATATAATTACGACTGAGCATCCAAGAATTGAACTGAAAAGGGCGAGTCGAGCAACTTGTTCCGTAAACCCGGCGACCATTCAAACATCATAATCATGAACATCTCATGACTCCGTGAATGGTCATTTTAGTGACACTGTTGAAACTCTCAATCGAACCATGTGCCACTAGACAAAAACATCGCACTAATTCAATACCACTCCAAAGAAAAAGGAAGACAATCACAGCTGAGGAACTCGAACAAAAATAAATCCTGAATACGAACAGAGAAATCACAGATGCGTGAATCGAAGAGAGTTTAGTGGACACCTGAGCCACGGAACGATCCATAGCAATAACAGACGAAGATATCAAGCGAAGTCCATGCAGATCAAGACTTTCGAGAGCTACTGCCATGGAACCCTCTGCAGGATTCCACGTCTCCGAATGAACGAGCACTTCTCCAGACAAGGGCAAGCCTGTGTTTCCATACCACTTTTCCATTTCCTCTCTGAATTGATGAAGAGGATGAGCAAAATACTTCTAAAAATGGAGACGGATCCGAGGGCGAGACGGTTCAGGAAGTAACGGAACGGCGATGGACGCAGCGGTTGGCGACAGAAGGGCGTTGTGCCAACAGTGGAGCTGCACGCCATTGCTCACTCATATTACTCCTGCTCCTGTCTCGGAACCGAGCCAAAGTGTGAACAGAGCTAGACGTATCGGAGCTTTCATCTACATGTGCCAAGTGACAACATCTCATGTGGTGAATTTTGTTGAGAGCATTAAATGTAGCCGGCGCTCTCCATAATATTTACTGTAGACTATAGTAAATTCCATAGCTATAGTATTTAGAGTCTAGTGGAGAAGAACTGTTTATCCTCTCCCCTTTCTCCTCTTGTACATGAGATACAACCAGATTAATAGATTTTTTCATGTGTGAAGCTCTCTTTCCTTAGAAACCCTCTTGTGTGTATTACTTACTATTATTCTTGTGTGTGTATATTACTTACTACTACTCTTGAGTCTTTCTAAACATTCTCAACATGTTATCAGCACGACTCTCTTCTACACACTATCACAATTTTTTTTGTTCTAGTCTTGACTATTCAAACTTGTTGCTACTCTTGCTCAATGTCTGTTTCATGATCTTGCTGCTCTTCTTGCTGGCCCCTTATACATTAGCTGCTTCCTTAGAGCACTTGTTCCACTCTCTACCCTACTTGCTTAGAATACTCAATCCAGCCCAGCTTATTCCTTATTGTGCCTTGCGCCTGCCGTCGAACAACCGTTGAATTGCCACCGACCCCGTCACTACTACTGCCACCCGCTGTCGTCCTATTGTTGTTTTGCTGCCTTAATCCACAACCTTGTTAAAAAAAAAAAAAAAAAAAAAAAATTATATTTTTATTTTTTAAGTTCAAATTTATCATTTTATTTGATTTTATATTTTAAGGTACATTTTATTCAATTTTTTTTTTACTTGATCTTGTATTTTTTTTACAAATTTATTTATAATGAGTGCTTCAACATCTTCAAATGTTTCTACTATGGTTCCAACTATTACTAGTGCATCCCAACATTTTCAAGCTCTTTTATTTCCACCATTGACTGTAGATGGAAATAATTATCTATTATGGGTAAAAATGGCAAAAACAAATTTATTTGCAGAACAACTCTCGAATGCGATTATGTTTGAAGAATCTCCTATAATAAGTATTTCTATTCTTTCTACTATTCGTTGCAAAGCACTTTTTTTCCTTTGTCGTCATCTTGTACCTACATTACAACATTAATATTTAGAAATAGAAGATCTTGTAGAACTTTGGAAGAATTTTTAATCCAAGTTTGATCATCAAAAGATCATTTTTCTTCCACGCGCACATCATAATTGGACACATTTACATGTCTTGGATTTTTCAAATTTAAATACTTTTAATAGTGAAATGTATAATATTGTCTCACAATTACGATTATAAGGATAAAGCATCTCTAAAAAAGAAATGATTGAGAAAACTCTCTCTACATTTCCTCCTATATCTACTGTGTTTGCACAATAATACAGGAACATGAAATTTTAGAGTCATTCTGATTTCATATCCTATCTACTTCTTGTGGAGAAGAAAAATGAGCCACTCTTGCTCAATACAGAAGCTCGTCCTATTAGAACCACAGTTCCAGAATCTCATACACTTAATATTTCAAAGTCTAAGAAAAAAATTATATAAACATGGGAAACATACTCATAAGTATCAGGGTAGTCATAATCATGACCATTTCTATCCATATGGAAAGAATAAATACTGTACTATTAATTATAGTAGAAAAAAAAAATCAAAGATGCATTCTTACTATAAGTATGGAATGATTAGACATTTAGCACATGTATGCCATACTTTAGAATATTTTATTAAAATGTTCCAAGAAAATAAGAAACTACAAGCTGAGGCTTGTGAAGTTCATACCATGGATGCGTCGATGGATTCAATTGGTGTTAATGACTTAGAGGCTTATATGAATGACAAAACCTCTAATGATGAATCAAATTATGCATTCATTAATTCTCCAAGAATACATACTATCCTACAAGATAAACGATTTTTTTATTAAAAAGTCTTTATCTTGGTAAACTAAAAATATGATGACCATGGCTGGAGTAAATGTCTTTTGTTTCCAAGACAGCACAACAACGGTAAAATTACCTATGGGTTCCATCATAAAATGTAAACATACAATGTTTGCACCCCTAACATCTCGGAGTTTGATCAGCTATTGAGATGTGCGTATTAATGATTATCACATCTCGACTACCATTTTAAATAGAAAAGAGGTTTTGGTTCTTGCAAAGAACCATAAAGTTGTTGAAAAAGCTTTTGCTACAAAAAATGGTTTATACCAAATTGCGATTCGACCTCCCATTATATTTAATTTTGCATCATCTATTACAGAGAGTAGTATTTCTATCTGATATGGATTATTGGGACATCTAGGATCTACATTATTTAGAAAGATCATTCCATGTATAACTAGATACAATTTAAAGCATGCGGATGTAGACTCTATAGAATTATGTCATACATGCGTGCAAAGTAAGATGATTACTCGGCCTTCAATTTAGAAACTTCGATAAGAATTACCACCAATACTTGAAAGATTGCATGGTGATATTTGTCATCCTATCAATCCAATATCGGGACCATTTCATAATTTTTTGGTCTTTGTTGATGCATCAAGTAAACAATCACATGTTTCATTATTATCAACTCGAAACATAGTATTTGCCAATCTTATATCTATGTTTATTTGTTTTCGGGCACATTTTCTTGATTATCCTATAAAAACATTGCATATGAATAATGCAAAAGAATTTGCATCAAAGTCTTTTGAAGACTATTGTACTACAATAAAAATTGAGTTGACATATTGTATTCCATATGAACATGCTCAAAATAGACTTACAAAGTTATTTATAAAGCATATACAACTCATTACCCAGCTACTCCTCCTTCATGCTGTCGTACTGTAAAAGCTTACAGTATGTAAAAATTAGTTAAAATATATTATATTTTAATAAATCTAAATATATGTTAGAATGGTTAATAGATTAATTTAAATAAAGTAGATTTAAGAAACTTTATTTTAAATTTTATCTTTTTTGATTATAGCATTTAAAAAAATCATAAGACCTAAATATTTAGTATAAAGCCTTGAGAGGAGATTAGAGCATAAAGAAGAAAATCTTAACTAATAGGAGGCTTATTGGGAGGGATGAAAGTAAGGCATGGTTGGATGAAGACAAGGAATAGGAAACTTCATTCCTATTGGTCGAAGGCCATGCCCAATGGGCTTCAAGGAGGCTGCTCGAGGCCTTATTAGAGTTTGTCTTTCGAAGTCATTTGAACTTTGGAGGCTAAGGTCAGCAAATTCAAGATTTTGAATATAATTTGGGTGAAGAGTTTGTGTAATTTCGAGTTTTTTTGAAGGAGATATAGGTGTTCAAAGTTAAGGTGGCAAATTTGTACCTACTGTCACTCTTTGAAGCATAACATATGCGTACAGAGAGCAATGAAAGATCGGCAATTGAAATTGGAGAGGAAACTTTTTTGGCTATACTTTACATAAACTATTTGACAAATTCTAAGTTTGGATGAAGGAGTTATAGGGCATTGAAGACAGCACATGTAATTCAAAGGCAGTAAGTAAGTGAGTCATTTTGTTGATAGTAATGGTTGGAGCCATATCTTAAGTTTTTGGATGAATTTTTGGCTCAAAGTTTTTGTAAGTAAGAGTTATTAAGTTAAAAAGCTATAAATCAAAGTTTCATGGTATTTAAGTACTTATTTTGTGAGATATGAAGAAATTAGCACGTAGGTGTATGTAAGCTAGGGTTTAAATCTATTCTTAGGGTTTTGGTGATATTTCAAGATCTGTAACGAATTTGTAGTTGAATTTTTTTGTGATAGTTTTTGAAAGTATATCAGTACTTCATGGAAAATTTAGGGTTGTTTGGACGGTCCGATCATGAGACATGAAGTATTGAAGTTCGAAAAATATTTCTTATAAGAATATATAAGGTTTTATGTGCACGTTTGCAAAATTGCCATTTTGAAGAAAATATATTGCCATCTCTTCAAGGAGGAGTATCCAATCAACTAAAAAATAAAGCACTTGTATTTGAAGCACCAGAAATATTTATAATGAATCCCAATCCTAGGACATCTTTAGTAAAAATTGAAGTTGCTAAGTTTTTGCATCTTAAACGGATTGTAGATAAAACATCTGATGGCTTCAATGATGTACCTAGAATTACAAGAGTTCTTATTAATGAGACTCAGAATACACTTGCTCAGATTACAGTGCCATTGACTATAATATCTCAAGTTATAACAACAACAACTAAAAGAACTTGTGGACCAAATAAGCAACCATGTTAGAAAAAGCTATAATATTGACTAATCTTGGTATTATTTTTTAAGAAATTTCCACTCATCCTACGGAACTACCAATTCATGATGATATATCTATATATAATGTACCTTCAATTCTTGTGAAAAGCAATCTTGGAATTAGAAGGAATAAGAACAAGTTGAGTAAAAAATTATCTATTCTATATTGTGATACAGATGATATTTGGAATAGACTGTCTATTACAGTAGATGAATCTTTTGTATGTATGATTATAGAAGCTCTTTCTTATCAAAAAGGCAATCTTGAACCTCAAACCATCAAGGAGGCAATGAATCGCTCTGATTGATCAAAATAAAAAACTGCTATTGAAAAAGAATATGCCTCTTTGCGTAAGAAGAAAGTCTTTGGTCCAATTGTAGACACTCTTACATCTCGCCCCGTGGGATATAATATGGTATTAATATGTAAGCAAGATGCTCAAGGTCAAATAACCCACTATAAAGGTTATCTTATTGCTTAAGGATTTAATCAATAATTTGGCATTAATTATGAATCTACATATTTTCCAGCCATGGATTCAATTACATTTCAATATATTTTTAGAATGACAGTTCATACCACCTTTGAGATGCATCTGATAGATGTAGTAACTGCATATATGTATGGTTCTCTTGATGCAAATATTTATATGAAAGTTCTACTTGGCTTAAAAACAAGAATTCCATGCAAGGAGGAGGAGGAAATATTAAGAGA